GCAAGCACGCACGGCCACGACCGAGGCTCTCGCTGAGCTTGCCCGACACCCCCGCCATGGCCGACCTCAATCTCGCCACGTTGACGCAGGAGCAACTCGATCGTCTCGTGCGACAATTGGAGGATTCGGCGCTTGAAATCGCGACGCTCACGGCGGAACGTGACTCCGCCCGTCAACAGTCAACAGTGAATGTTCCGACGACATCCCACGTGTGAAACTAACTGAACAGGAATGAATTGACTAAGTCAGGGTTGGGTACAAATACAAACCTAGCAAACTGTACCCCATATGTGCTACCCCACTATAGCCTACAAACATGCATCAGCTATAATAATCTGACACACCCCCATAGGCAAAGTGGGGGAGAACAAGGGGTCACAAGACCAGTCAAGCAAAGCAAAGTAAAGCAAGCTCAGGGTGGATCACAAAGTCACCACACAGTCCGAGCACAAGAGCAGGGCCAGAGGCCAGTTTGCATGCAGGAGTACAGACATATATATAAAACTAGACAAGGAGGAGCAGGTATATATATGACAAAGTACAAGTAAAGTCAAGAAGAGAGCAAGTGAGGCAAGACAGGTACAAGACCCAGCTGGGTACAAAAGCGCTGATGGTCACAAGGCGCAAGTGCCTTGGTGAACACATCAACAGTGTTGGCCTCAGAGGCCACGTAAGCAAGTCGCAACTGACCACGCTGCTGCAGCTCACGAGCAAGGAAGTAGCGGAGAGCAATGTGCTTCGTTCTGTGCTCCAAGCGCTGCTCTCGACACAAGGCCAGCATGGCCTTGTTGTCTACGTACAGCACTGGAGGAGAACGAGGCGGCTCTCCAAGGTCGGTCAGCAGGTAGGTGAGCCAGCGAAGCTCCTGTGCAGCCATGGCCCCGGCGTAGATCTCAGCCTCACAACTGGAGCCAAGAACCGAAGACGAGCGAGTAGACCGCCACGAGACAGAACCGGAACCAAGGCTGAAGGTGTAACCCTGTGACGACCGCTGCGTAGCCTGGTCGTCAGCCCAAGAAGCGTCTGCGTGGCCGGTAAGGACCACTGGACTCCGCCCTCCAAGCACTAGCCCCATGCCCGACGTACTGCACAGGTAGCGCAATACCCTCTTTGCTGCAGCCATGTGCTCCGGTCTGTGTCTTCCAGGAGCAACATAGCGTGCAAGAATGCTCAGAGGGTATGCAAGGTCAGGTCGTGTGCAGGTCATCAGGTACATGAGGCAGCCAACAAGCTCTGCATACGGACCACTCGACTCTACGGACTCATCCGAAGGCAGAGCTGAGAGTGAGTGGCGAGTAGGCAGAGGAGTGGCCTGAGGCGAGGAGTACGTGAAGCCGAAGCGCTGAAGGACCTGCTGCACCATGTGTGACTGAGTCAGGGTAATGGTGCGACGTGCTCTGTCCCGAGTGATCTGCAAGCCAAGGTAGCTGCGCAGTTCACCCAGGTCTGTGCACGTGTGTCTCTTCAGCAGCTCGGACTTCACGTAGGCGAGTCCAGCAGTGTCCGCTGTGGCAAAGACCAAGTCGTCGACGTACACGAGGATGTAGAACGGCGGCAGGGAAGTGTCGGTGCGAAGAAACAGCGACGGGTCAGCAGTAGAAGGAGCAAACCCAAGAGCCGCAAGCGTAGTCCTCAGTGTGTCGTGCCACTCACGCGGTGCCTGGCGGAGACCGTAGACTGGCCGTCGGAGGCTCCACTGGGTGCCAGGAGGGAAAGTCCCAGTGAAGCCAGGCGGACGGCGCAGCCAGATCTCCTCGTGCAGGCTACCCTGCAGGAACGCAGTGCTGAAGTCGAGGGAGTGAAGCTCGTAGTCGCGCTGAGCGGCAATGTGCAGCAGCATCCGAAGAGTGGTCATCTTCGGGGTGGGAGAGAAGGTCTGAAAGTAGTCAACTCCCTGCCGCTGACTGAAGCCACGAGCCACGTAACGCGCCTTGAAGACAGGCGGGGAGCCCGGCGGCCGCTTCACCCTGAAGATCCACATGCCACTGACGATGTTCGCCCCAGGAGGGGGAACCGCGTCAACGTAGGTGCCTGTGGACTTCCAGGAAGCCATCTCTGCATCCATAGCTGCCTGCCACTGAGAGGAGTAGGGACCCTCGACGGCCTCCGCGTAAGAACGCGGAGTCGGGATGTCTAGTGCATCCGGGTCTCCCTCAGGGGCAAGCAGTACAGACGCGAGATGAGGTGAAGCAGCCGCTAGACACTGTAACTCCTCCTGCCTGTCCTCTAGGACGTCCGTGCCAAGGGCACACTCACCCCCGACGGACGGAGGACAGGCGGACTCAGACTCAGCGACAAGACGAGCAGCGTAGTCTAGACGACAGCGCGCAGCAAAGTCGACAAGCTCAGTGACAAGGGCAGACGCAGCAGACGACTCAAAGGAAGGGTCAGTGACAGCAGTAGCAAGGAGACGCGTGACAGTAGGACTGGCAGCACGAAGAGAGTCCGACTCCGGGTCGGCAAGGGCAGGAAGAGAGGAAGCAGGAGGAGAAGGCAAAGGGGCACGCAGAGGAGCAGTGGACGGACGCAGTGACATCCGGTGCGTGCCAGGGACAGGAGGAGGACGCTGACGCGACCCGCGACAACTAGCGCGCTCAGTACGAACAGGCGACGCAGGACGAGACGCAGGCTCACGACGCTCAGTAAGACCTCCAGTCGGACCAGCGTAGGGAGAAGGAGCAGGCAAAGGGGAGGCAGGCTGTAGCTGTGCCTGTGACCGAACAGGCTGTGGACCCTCTAAGGAAGCAGGAGGAGGTGCAAGACCAAGAACCTGCTGTAGGAGCGGAACGAAGTACGGTCGAGGCCGCACGGCGACACCAGAAACAGCAGGAACAGCACCAGTCCCCCCGTCAGGAGCACCCACGCCAGCAGCACCTCCAGCAACTCCAGAACCCCCAGCAGCAGCGCCAGGAGCACTGTCAGTCGGACCACCAGCGGCAGGCTCAGCGCCAACTCCCTCAGTAGGACCAGCTCCAGGAGAACTCTCAGACCGAGCAGCTCCAGCACCCACAGTACGAGCACCGTCGGGACACGCGGCAGCAGTATCCACTGCAGGCGAAGAACCCCCAGCACCAGCAGCACGCCTCCAGCGCCTGGTAAACCACTCACGCAGCTCCTGTGGGGAGAGTGGCTCCCGGCGAGACGAAGCACCCCCAGGCTCAGCACCCCCAGGCTCAGCACCCCCAGGCACAGCACCCCCAGGCTCAGCACCCCCAGGCTCAGCACCCCCAGGCACAGCACCCCCAGGCACAGCACCCCCAGGCTCAGCACCCCCAGGCTCAGCACCCCCAGGCTCAGCACCCCCAGGAACAGCACCCCCAGACCCCGCACCCTGAGGCTCAGCTCCCGCAGCAGCACCAGAGTCACCAGTGACCTCGACAGGCTCGACCGCGTCTACCTGGGACACACCTGAAGGGGCAGGACCCTGAGGGGGGAGGGGGACGACCGGGGGGGGGCCTGGTACCAAGAAGAGCGGGGGCGGGGGGAGGGACGGAGTGCGGTAGGGGAAGAGGCGGTAGTAAGGTACCGACTCGTCGAACGTGACGTCCTGGGAGGACAGAACACGTCGAGAGGTGGGGTGGTAAAACTGCCACCCAGGGGCGTCGGGGGGGAACCCCAGGAAGACGCAGGGAGAAGCACGAGGGGACAGCTTGTCCGCAGACAGGTCGCGAACAAACGCCCGAGATCCCCAGACCCGGAACGCCGACGCATCGCCAACCTTCCCCGTCCACAGCAGGGCTGGGGAGGTCTCTGGTCGAGAGACCCTGGGGTGGAGGTTGATCTGGTGCGCAGCGTACCTGACCGCAAACGGCCACAGAAAATGGGGAGCAGCCGCATGCATCATGGACGTACGAGCGACGTCCATGACCATGCCAATGCGGCGCTCAGCAATCCCATTCTGCTGTGGTGAGTCCGGAAGCGTGAAGGTCTGACGGATGCCTCGCACACGACAGTAGGCAGTCAGGAGGCCAGAGGAGAACTCTCCGCCTCTGTCCGAGTGCAGACGCAAAACAGGGAAGTCAGAGCCAAAGCTCCTCCGAAGCTGAAGACGAGCTGCGCGGATCCAGTCGATCAACACCGCAGTGACCTCACCCTTGCTGCGCAAGGGGAAGACTGTGGTGTAACGCGAGTAGTCGTCAACCACCAGCAGGAAGTAGCGCTCCTGACCCTGTCCACGGACGCGGGCTGGGCCCCACACGTCCATGTGAAGCGTCTGCAACGGGGCCTCTGTCGGAGGAAACTGGGAGGAGTGAGGGGCAGCACGCTGGCGCCCCTCGACACAGGGGACACAGGCAGGGCCAGGGCCCGGAGGAAGGGGAGGGAGGGACCGGGGAAGACCAGACACAAGGACCCGCGAGGCCATGCCTCTGAGCCGAAGCAGAGAGGGGTGGCCAAGGCGGTGGTGCCAGAGGAGGGTCTCGTGAGACAGACGACGACACGAACATGGGGCAGACTCAGGACCAGACCTGGACGCTGCAGCAAACACCTGACCAGACGAAGGGACTCTACCAGACGCAGCACCTCGAGGAGAAGCAGTGGTCAGTGTGTACAGGCTCGACCCTGGCCGACGTGTAAACGTAGCCAGGTGACGACCTGTATCCGCCTCCGTACAGTGGGTCACCCGCTGACGAGCAGGGGTGAACTGGTGGACACCTGCATCCTGGAGGTCAGCACCACTCACCAAGTTCGTCGAGAACGAGGGGAGGTAGAGACCAGTCAGGGTGCCAGAGGGGGCCGCTGGACACGGGAGGACAGTGGAGAAGCGAGACAGGACAGGTCCCCCAGAGGGGTCAGCCAGGGACACCGCAACCGGCCGACTCAGCGGCGTGAGAGTGGTGCGGTCCCTAAAGAAGGAGCGAGACGCTCCAGAGTCAAGGGTGAAGGTGTGAGAGGCCGAAGCCGACACAGTACCTGAGAGCGCGGACTCACCAGCACCTGAGAGCACAGACGCACTGGCACCTAGAGCTGCAGCCTCACTAGTACCTGACGCGGCAGTACCAATGCCCGGGTCGGGCGGGAAACACCGGTAACAGTCATCCTCATCACTACCAGTCACAGCATACATAGCAGAGAGAATAGCATCAAAGTCAAGATCATAAATAGCTACTCCAGCCCTAGACAGCTCTCCCCAGCGGGGGATCTCAGCGGCCTCCGGAAACTGCTGACGCCAGGCGTCGGTCAGGCGGCCAAAGCAGCGACGGGCTGTGTGGGCGCCCCCACACCTCTCCCCCGCACGGTCACCGGTGCGAAGAACGTAGGGGCAGGGACCAAGTGCACCACCGCGCTGACGCTGCAAGTACCACTCACGGAGCTGCTGAGGGCCGGGGACGGTGCGAGAGCGCTGCTGCTGCTGCGGCTGCTGCTGCTGCTGCTGCTGCTGCTGCTGCTGCTGCTGCTGGCGCTGACCACCCCCAGAGCTGCTCCGCTGGGACGAGCCACTCCGACCCCCGCCTCCACCGCCACCCCCGCCTCCACCGCCACCCCCGTCTCCACCGCCACCTCCCCCACCAGGACCGTCGCTCCCACCGCTCCCACCGCCTCCTCCGCTACCACCTCCGCCGCCACCTCCGCCTCCACCGCCGCCACTAGTACCTCCACTCCCGCCACCACCCCCACCGCCACTCCCACTCCCCCCTCCACCCCCACCGCCTCCTCCACCGCCCCCTCTAGCTCCACCCGCCCCCTTGCCCCCCTTGCCCTTGCCAGAGCGGCGTCTGCCGCTGGGGGCAGACGCCGCGCCGACCGACTCAAAACCAGCGAGGTCGGCCGCAGCGGCAGAGGCGACAGAGGGCAGCAGGGGGGAAGGACCACACCCCTCAAAGATGGGGGTGCGAGGGTCACCCCGAGAGGCCCCTACAGCGACAATACTCTTCTCAGCCGCTAGCAGGGACTCCTCAAGGAGGTCGACAGTGAGAGTGGTGGGACAGACAGAGAGAAACTGGTCCCTAACGACACGAAGGGACTCAGGGAGACGGGTGACGAGAAAGTAGAGAGTGATGTACATGGGAGGAGGGTTCGCAGCGCGGAACTCAGCAGGAAGGGCAGCACGGTAGCGGGTGTCACTAGCGCGGAGGTGGGTAACTAGGTCAGCAACAGTGGGAAAGGAAGCGAGGTCAGGGAAGAGAAACGGTAGCATGAGGCGGCTAAGGGTAGCGGAGGAAGGGGAGGAGTAGCGTGCAACTACAGCGTCGTACAAGGCCTGAGCGGTCTTGCACTGACTAAAGTGGGCACGCTCAGAGGAAGGGAGGTGGCGACGCACAGCAAGACGTGCAGCAGCATCGCGGGTCGCCCACTTGGAGCGAGCAGCAGAGTCAGCATCAGCAGGCGGGGCAGGGACAGCGCCAGAGACAAAGTCAAAGAGAGAGACCTCATCTATCGCATCACACAGTAAGTACAGCTGCAGGTCTTCAATCCAGACGGCAAAGTCAATGGCCCTCCCCTCAGCGTCAAAAGTAAGAACATTGGGGGTGGCCATGGCAGCAGCTGAAAGTCTCACCGGGCTAGGAGAGTCGGGTAGGACAGCAGCAGGCAGCTCGGGCTGGGTCGGGCGGCTCGGGCGGCTCGGGCGGCTCGGGCGGCTCGGGTAGCTCGGGTACCGGGCGGTTCGGCCGCTGCTGGGCGGCTCGGCCGCTGCTGGGCGGCTCGGCTGCTGCTGGGCGGCTCGGCCGCTGCTGGGCGGCTCGGCTGCTGCAGGGCGGCTCGGCTGCTGCTGGGCGGCGCGGCTGCTGCTGGGCGGCTCGGCTGCTGCTGGGCGGCTCGGCTGCTGCTGGGCGGCGCGGCCGCTGCTGGGCGGCTCAGCTGCTGCTGGGCGGCTCGGCTGCGGCTGGGCAGCTCGGCTGCTGCTGGGCGGCTCGGCGGGGCCGTCAAGGTGCAGCTGCGGGGCCGGGACAGGGGACGGCGGGGCCGTCAGGGTGCAGCGGCGGGGCCGGGCAGGGGACGGCGGGGCCGTCAGGGTGCAGCGGCGGGGCCGGGACAGGGGACGGCGGAGCCGTCAGGTGGCGGGCCAGCAGGCGAGGTGGCGAGCCGTCAGGTGAGGCAGCGGGGCCGGCAGGTCAGGTGACGGGCCAGCAGGTGAGGCGGCGGGCCGTCAGGTGAGGTGGCGGGCCAGCAGGTGAGGCGGCGGGCCGTCAGGTGAGGCGGCGGGGCCGTCAGGTCAGGTGGCGGGCCAGTAGGTGAGGCGGCGGGCCGTCAGGTGAGGCGGCGGGGCCGTCAGGTAAGGTGGCGGCGGGCCGTCAGGTGAGGCGGCGGGGCCGTCAGGTAAAGTGGCGGGCCAGCAGGTGAGACGGTGGGCCGTCAGGTGAGGCGGGGGGGGCCGTCTGGTGAGGTGGCGGGCCAGAAGTCGAGGCGGCGGGCCGTCAGGTGAGGCGGCGGCCGTCAGGTAAGGCGGCTGCGAGGCCGACAGAGGTGCAGCGGGGGGGGCCTGCTGCAGCGACGAAGAGGCCGCGCGGCCGTCTTGAGGGCGGCGCGGCGCGGCAGAGCCGAGAGGGCGGCGCGGCGCGGCTGTAAGGGCCGCGCGAAGTGGGGCCTGGGCCGCGCGCGCGAAAAAAAAATGAGTCGCGCGCGCGACTCTCAGAGCGCCACAAGGGCAGCTCGACGCGCACTAGGGGGAGCGCGCCTCGGGGAAAATAGGGCGCGCTCCGGGCAGGAAAAAAAATCGTGGGTGGGCCCAAAGAACGGTCCTTAGGAGGGACCCGCTCTATACCATGTGAAACTAACTGAACAGGAATGAATTGACTAAGTCAGGGTTGGGTACAAATACAAACCTAGCAAACTGTACCCCATATGTGCTACCCCACTATAGCCTACAAACATGCATCAGCTATAATAATCTGACACCACGCACCAACCAATGTTTCTGTACATTCGGAGGAGCCGATTGTCATCTCATCCGGCACACCAACGCAACACAACAGCACGGGACAGCGCTCAGGCGCAGCCAGTGACGGCGCAGCCCAACTGATGCCCGGCATGGGAGGGAACAGGAGCACGCTAAGCCCACGGGAGCCCCGAGAAGCCCGTCGGCACGTGGAGTTTGCGGCGACAAGTGGTGAAAACGCCATGATGGCCCCAATGCCACTCAAGCCGCAACGCCCGCCCTGCTTCGACCCAAGCCAACGCGGCGGCCCGACAGTTCAATCGTGGGTCTTCACGATGAATGTGTTTTTCGACGCCAACTACGTCGAGGCGGACGCCGCCAAGATTCGGTATGCGGTTTCACTACTCAGGGGCCCCGCCATGGACTGGTGGCGAGTCATCGTGACGTCGCCACGCGCCTACGAGCCACCGTCGCACGAGGAAGGGCCCTCGGGTCCAGCTGTCACCTGGAGTTCGTTCTGCGAAACAGCCCAATACAGCACGTGGGATGCGTGGTGCGCAGGGCTTCGGGCGCGTTTTGAGCCGATCGCGGCTTCGATTTCGGCGCGTCAGAAACTGCGCACTTGGCGCCAGCTCGGGTCGGTTCAAGACTACACCAGCGGTTTTCTCGCACTTTGCGAACAGGTCGGCTACATGCACGAGGCGGAGCGGGTGGACCGTTACGTCGGAGGGCTGAAGCCGGACATATCGCACGAGATAATGCTACGCGGGCTATCAAATTTCAACGAAATCCTCGCGCTCGCCGAGAAAATCGATATCCTACGCCGACCGAGACCGGGGTCCTATTTCGGACATCCCCCTCGGGGACCGATCGAGCACGCCACTGTACATGCCGTCGCAACGAATGCAGCTGCCACGCCATTTAGAGGGCGCTGCTTTGCTTGCAACCGGTCGGGCCATCGCAAGAGCGAATGTCCAGAGGAGCTGAGGCGTCGAGGAGCAGAGCAGGGGAGGGAGTCTCAGAGGCAGGGAAACGCCAGCAGTCAGTAGAAGTTGGGCCAACTACTGACGAGACTGCCTGCTCGCCCAACCACACCGACCCTCACCGAGTCACAGTACCGATTCACGCCATCGATCGTGCTCGGATGAATAAGGAGGGTACAGCGACGGATTGCCCGGTACTGATCTACGGGAAAATACAGGGAGCAGCAGTGAAAATCTTCATTGACGGAGGAGCAAGTCACAGCTTAGTTAATACTGCAACCGCACGGAAATTACAGTTAACACTTAACCGATGTTTACCTGAGATAGATGCACGCTTAGTCGACGGCACGCCATTGGCCATACGAGAAAAAGTGGAGCGAGTAAAAGTCCGCTGCGGGGGAAACTTCGGGTTTACACAGGAAATGCTCGCAACGACGCTGGATGGGCACGACATTTTACTGGGACGTGATTGGCTGCGACGGTACAACCCACGGATCGACTGGACGACGGGGAGCTGCACAGTGCGAAGTAGTGGTGACTGGGTCGTCCTACCTCGCTGGCGGCCACCCGAATCTTCGACAGTCCAGGTCAACGCCATCACGATGAAACGGGCTGTCGCTGCTGGAGCTGACGTGTACGCAGTGGATATCGCAGTGGTAGAAAAAAACGAGCAGCAGAGTGATTTAGAGAAACTACTAGCAGCCGTACCGACCGAATTACAGGCACTACTGAAACGGTTCCCGGGGATATTTCCGGATGATTTACCACAGGGACTGCCACCTCAGCGAGCGCACGACCATAGGATCGAGTTAGAACCGGGGGCACAGCCAACCATACAGCGGCAATTTCGACTGACACAGCCCGAGCTCGACGAGTTAAGGAAGCAGTTAGATTACCTGTTAGAAAAGCAGTTTATTCGACCGAGCTCGTCACCGTTCGCCGCACCCATACTGTTCACACCGAAAAAGGACGGAGGTTTTCGCATGTGCATCGACTACCGAGCGCTTAACAGGGTAACAGTCAAATCGCGATACCCCATCCCCCGCGCCGACGAACTGATTGACCAACTGCGAACAGCACGTGTCTTTTCGAAAATAGATTTACGGGGAGGTTACCATCAGATTCGGGTCGAACCATCGGACTGCGCAAAAACAGCATTTAGGACTAGGTACGGGTCATTCGAGTATACAGTAATGCCCTTCGGGTTGACGAACGCGCCTGCGACTTTTCAGATGACCATGAACGAGGCATTTAGGCCACTTTTAGATAAATGCGTGATCGTTTACCTCGACGATATCCTCGTTTACAGTCGGGATAAGCAGCAACACTTAGCAGATCTTGAAGCAGTTTTTAAGGTTTTAGAGGAACATCGGCTGCTCACCAAGGGCTCCAAGTGCGAGTTTTTTAGGGATAGGCTAGAGTTTTTAGGTCACGTCATTTCAGAGGCTGGGGTTGAGATTGACCCAAAGAAGCTGGACACGGTAAAAGCGTGGCGCCCCCCGACGAACATCACGGAACTGCAGAGTTTTTTAGGGTTTGTTAATTACGTTCGACGGTTCGTGCCCGACATGGCACGTTTAACAGCCCCACTAACTGATTTACTGCGTAAGGGGGTCGCTTTTACGTGGGGGGAGAAAGAGCATGCTGCCTTCTCTGCCCTAAAAAACGTTCTCTGTTCACCACCCGTCCTACGCATCGCTGATCCCCACCGCCCTTTCGAAGTGGTTACCGACGCAAGTGACATCGCCATCGGAGCTGTACTGTTACAGGACTTCGGCAACGGCCTTCAACCCATCGCCTACGAATCACGCAAACTACATCCGCATGAGCGAAATTACCCGATACACGACCGTGAAATGCTCGCGATCGTGCATGCATTCAAAGTTTGGCGCTGCTACTTGACCGGCGCAGACGTGACAGTACGGACAGACCACCGATCTCTACAGTACCTCCGCGCACAGCCCCACCTCAACCCACGACAAATTCGATGGCTCGATTTCCTCGAGTCGAATTTTCACTATACGGTCACATATAAAAAAGGAGCATCGAATATCGCCGACGCACTGACCTGCCCCACTGCCCAGATTCACGCAATACTACTCGCCCAGACCAGCCCACTGCTAACAGGCCTATTTACCCACGGATATCAAACAGACCCGTTCTTTACAGGAGGCAACTCACACCAATTCGCAGCGGCAAAAGGAGTCTATTACGTAAAAACTGGAACCGACCGCATCTGGGTACCGGGATACACACTACTGCGGGAACTACTGTTACAGGAAGCACACGACGGAGTTACCTCGGGACATTTCGGGGTAGAAAAAACACGGCAGCAGCTGCAGCGGTACTACTACTGGCCAGAAATGTTGACCGATGTGCAACGACACGTGGCATCGTGTCCCACTTGCCAGCTCATGAAGTCAAGCAGGAAGCGACCAGCGGGGCAATTACAACCCATCCCGCCTCCAGAGCGTGCTTGGCAGCAGGTGACGATGGACTTCGTCACGGGGTTACCAACTGGGACGAGTGGGAATGACGCGATCCTGGTCGTCGTCGATCGACTAACGAAAATGGCTCATTTCGCAGCATGCAGGAAATCCATCACAGCCGAAGAAACCGCCCGACTCTTCATCTCCACCGTCGTACGACTTCACGGGATACCCGCGTCGATCATCAGCGACAGGGACACGAAATTTACAAGCAACTTCTGGCGGAACCTGTGGCAGCAGTTCGGCACACGCTTACAGTTCAGTTCATCCTATCACCCCGAAACCGACGGTCAGACGGAACGGACAAATCAGACCATGGAGCAGCTGATTCGAGCCACGTGCGACGACCCGAATACGTGGGAACAGCAGCTGCCACTCATCGAGTTCGCATACAATAATGCACCATCAGCCACGACGCAACAGTCGCCGTTTTATTTGAATTACGGACAGAACCCAACAGTACCCATGACACCGAATCCCGACAACCCCGTCCCACGAGCACAACAGTTCGCCGAGATTCTGCAAGCAGCACGGACCAGGGCAGCAGAAGCAATCAAAAAATCAAACATCATCGCTAAACGTAACGCCGATCGACACCGCAGACCCGTTACTTATCAGCCCGACGACCTCGTGTTACTCGACACTCAAAATCTTCGCCTGCCCATCACTCCGAAACTTCGCCCCCGATATTGTGGGCCATTTCGCATCAGCCACATGATCACACCCGTCACCGCCCACCTCCTCCTCCCTGCTGACTGGTACGTCAGCCCGTCATTCCACGTCAGCCTACTTCGCCCTTACATCCCATCCACGAGCCAACTGCCACGAAATCGCCCAGCCAGCATGACACGTCCCCCAACCGAACCACTCATCACCCCTGAAAAAATCCTCAGCCACCGAGTCCGCGACCCTCGGGGAGCCCGAAGGATCGAGTTCCTAATTCGCTGGAAGGACCGAACGCCCACAGAAGACAACTGGGTCCCCTTGGATAAAATTGAGAACCACCCTGTCTTCCCCGAGTATCTGCGAAGCCGAAATTTCCGCGACGTCCATGCGCTCTCGTAAGAGGGGCCTCCTTGGGGAGGGGGGTAGTGTAAGGAAATTCCCTTTTCCTTACTTCGCGTCTCTGCTCAACGCGTACGTCACTGTAGCACCTCAGTCAGCACCGTTACCACTCGCGACCATCGCATCATTCATTATCCCGCCCTTTTCGCACATCGCATCCCGACCTCACGGCTCGGCTGGTAACCCGCGCTCCGGGCCTACGCCTCGACACTTTCCCAACCTCAGTCCCAGGCTCGTCGCGCGACAACCACAGTCCATTACCGTTACCACTATTGTTTCGCTATATAATCCTTCGTTCATGCCTTCGCTCATTGTACTTTTGCTTCGATAGTGCAATTCTCGTTCGTTCACTCAATTGCACTCGTAACACGAAGCTTATCATTGTTTCGACACTGACGACTTGTAAATTTCTGGAGTAACTAGGGTTAGCGAAATACGTGCCCAGCCAGTCCAGCCTCGTTAGTCGGCTGCGGTGGCCTACCACCACATGCGGTTTTTTTTTTCCCCCTTCTTCCACCCAGCCATCCGACCGAACCTCCTTTCCCCGCGCTCTCTTTGAATGCGCCTCCCACGGCCTGATCGGTTCCTTTTCCTCGATACCTTTCCCTCCCTCCTAGCTTAGTCGCCTCACTCCACCAGGCCGCCACCATGGTAGGTCCGCTGTAGGTAACGCCGTCTCTAACGCATTCCCTGTGCTAGCAGATGCTAGATGCTGCGCGACTCATCGTTTTCTTTTTAGCGTTTGAAGTTACCAGAGCAGGCATCGCTAATTTCTAATAGTAGAACGGGTCCATGTGTGTCATGTTATGCGTGCGTGTGCATGTGGTGCGTGCGGGCGCATATGCTGCGTGCGTGTGCATGGTTCGTGCGTGTGCATGTTTTTCTTGCGTGTACGTGTTGCTTGCATGAGCATGTTGCGTGCGTGTGCATGTCGCTTGCGCGTGCTTGTTGCGTGGGTGTGCATGTCGCATGCGTGTGCTTGCTGTGCGTGTGCATGTTGCGTGCGTGTGCATGTTGCGTGCGGGTGAATGTTGCGTGCGTGTGCATGCTGTGCGTGCATGGGTGCGCGGCGTGCGTGTGCTGCGATGGTCGGTAGGCGCTCGTAGCGAACGAGGGGTTTCAGCACATTCTGCGCGTGCTCAACACCAACGTGGACGGCCGGACCAAGATCATGTACGCGCTCACCTCCATCCGCGGTATTGGCCGCCGCTTCGCTAACATCGTCTGCAAGAAGGCGGATGTCGACCTCAACAAGCGGTATGCCCCGCTCTCCCTCTCGTCGCTCTCGTCGCACTCGTCGCTCTCTATGGCCCCCTCTCTCCCGCCGTTCTTTACGTTGTACCGCATCCCACCATTCACCACGTCCCATCACCCTCATTCGCCGCGCCCCATCACCCGCGTCCTCGTGCGCGCCGTATCCCCTGCAATTTGCTGCTCCTCTCGTTTCTTCGTCGTGTCCGATGCGTCGCCTGTCGTTCCTCGCCTGATCGTTTCTTCCCTGATCGTTTCTTCAAATTTATGACTGCCCGGTGCTGCCTGCAGCTTCACGCAGGTAACCCTTGCTCGATTGCATCGCATTGCTGCTACCATGTTTGCGCGACCAATCACGGCAGTATCATGGGTACCAGGCCAGAATGTTAGCCGTATTGGGTTGCACGCGCACGCTCACCGCCCTTGCAGTGTCGTACCGTGTCACACCATGCGATACCATTTTCAGTATGGACGGCCAAAAGTTACAGGCTCATTACCACTCTTTTGTAGCGGTATTCCGAATCTAGGGTTTCAACACCATCCGCTTGCCTGGTCCGCTCATGCGCGCGCATCCCTTCCCCCACTCTTTCCTCTCCCCTTTGCGTGTGCGTGTGCGTGTGCGGCGGGTGCGCGGGGGCTGGCAGGGCGGGCGAGCTGTCGGCAGCGGAGCTGGAGAATCTGATGGTGATAGTGGGCAACCCGCGGCAGTTCAAGATCCCCGACTGGTTCCTGAACAGGCAGAAGGACTACAAGGACGGCCGCTACTCGCAGGTCGTGTCCAACGGACTCGACATGAAAATGCGCGACGACCTCGAGCGCCTCAAGAAGATCAGGTCCGTCCATTGCGCTGATCCACTTAGGCGCCTCACATGTTGCTCCGCTAGGCCAGTCATCACGATTACCACGATTATGAACACCATCATTAGCACCATGGTCATCAACACCATGGTCATCAACACCATGGTCATCAACACCATGGTCATCAACACCATGGTCATCAACACCATGGTCATCAACACCATGGTCATCAATACCATGGTCATCAATACCATGGTCATCAACACCATCATCTCGTTTCGTGCTCCATCATCACGTTAGGGGTGCCATGGAGGACCGGGTGGGATGTGTAGAGGGCGGTTGAGGTGGCAGGTGGTGGGGTGAGTGAAATTCCTGCTCAAATGTCCCCTGCTGCCCTGATGATGATTGACCTTGTCTCCACCTGACAAGACTGAATCTGCGTGTGTCCGATCCAATCCTGTTTCTCGCTGCTGTGCATTCCCTGCCCTGCCTGTGGCGGCCCTCCACTCGCCCTCCCATGGCATTACTGCATTCCTGCATTCCCGTCCCTGCAGGAATCACCGTGGGCTGCGACACTACTGGGGCCTGCGTGTGCGTGGGCAGCACACCAAGACCACTGGTCGCCGCGGCCGGACTGTTGGTGTGTCCAAGAAGCGATAGAGAGCCTCTTTGCACTTTGCCTTCGCACGGGAATATGTTGCTTATAGTTGGATGTAATGCATTGTGTAATGAGTGATAGCAATATTGGCTCAAGTGGTCATTGCAACTGCACTATTCATTGTTTCCACTACCGAGATGCTGTAACTTTCGTGATGCTATTGATCAGTGATGTCTGCATTGCTTTGCAATAGTGGTGAGGTACATCAGTGTACCTGTGTAGATCTGTCTGAATAATCGCATTTATATAGAGTCTCACATTTGTATTGATGTATACACACCCTTTATATCAGTGTACCTGGTACGGTATGTTGACGATTTTAAGTAACATTCTGGGACAGCTTCATCTCACAAATCCAAGCGCAACATCCAACAAGAGAGGCTTCGTGTCGAGTCCGGCCTGTCTTTGAGCGCTCGAACAAATCCCCGATGCTGTGAGTCTCTGCAAGAACACACCCGAAAAACCCTTTCTAGATTTTTGTGAGCACATGTACACATTTGAGGCTGGTTCCTGCAGTGCAGTGGCATGGGCTGGGGAGAGCGGCAGGTGGATGAGTGAGTGTATGAGGAGGGCAGCGCGAGAGAGGAGGGAGGGGTGAGGAGAGAGCGATGGCGGGAAGGACACGAGGCACTGCAACCTGGCCACTTGGGGGGAAAGGGGGAGCGGCAAAGAATAGAGGCAACAGGGATTGGGAAAGGAAGGTGAGTTCTTTCCTGCACCCACTAATCTTGCACTGCATCACTTGCAGCTCAGATAAGGCTGATAAGCACATCCAGTGCCATCATGCCACGTGACTTCATCACCTCCCTCTCAACCTTAACCACCTCACTCTCACCCCCCTCCCCACCCTCCCTCCGATGAAGTGTGGATGGAGAAGGATAGGTTTAGGGGGTACACAGAGCGAAGGAGGGAGGTGGCAAAGGGATATAAGGAGGGGTAAGGAGGGGTAAGGAAGGTGCCAAGGGCGGAAGAAGGGTGTGGTTAAACACAGGGGGTAAAGGGGCTTGGGAGTGTGGGAGGAGGAATGGAGAAGAAATATTAGGAGGACGAGGGAGGGGCGGATGGGGAGGAATGGGTAACAAGGAGGGTGCGGGGTTTATCAGACAGACGAGCAAGGGATGGGAAAGGGAAGACGGCGGCCAGATGCAGGAGATAGCAGGACGGTGAAATGAGGGAGGAGCAGAAACAATACTGTGGAGGCTTGCAGATGCATGGGGTGGGAGTGTGACCCACAGCAGTTGGGTGTCTCGCTTACAGCACTTAAAGGTTGGTGAGCTTGCTGCAGGAATCAGGTGGCGGGCCTTGAAAGTGGTTATTGCCCAGGTCGCTGGTGCGGAGGGAAAGAGAGGTGTAAGGCTTAGGGTTAATGGGGGGATGATGGAGTGTAGATGGATGAGTGAGTGAGGGAGGGAGTGAATTGGGAAAAAAAAGCAAAAGGCAATACAGGCAGTATACACTGCAACACGCATGCAAATCAGGCCAAGTCAACTCAAGCCAGCACACACACATGTCAACTCAAGCCAGCCTAAGCCAGCACACACACACGTGCAAGTCAACCCACGGAGTCACAAGACCGGTGAGCGCGCCAAGAGTATTGTTCTGCTCGAAAACGAGTGAGGAGAGGCGGGAGACGGCAGGGGAGGGACCAGTCCTGCGATGCGGCTCATGTTTAGTGTAGATGTCTACAGGGGCGGTAGCAGGAAAGGGGTTGAGGGGGCTTTTAAGGCGCCTCAAAAGTCATTTCCTGTTTTGAGGCGCCTCAAGAGGCGGGGGAGGGCAGGAAAGGACCAGCCCTGTGATGCGGTTCATGTGCAGTCCAGATGCCTACAGGGGGGGTAGCAGGAGAGCGGTTGAGGGGGAGGGAGGGGATGTTAGCATGCATGCGAGAAGAGAAGGAGGCAGATAGGGTTCACGTGGCAATGATTTCACGCAAGGGAGTGAAAGGATAGAAGAGCAAGCAAGGGGAGCAAGGGAAGCAAGCAGGGAGAAGGGGAGGTAAAGGGAAAGATTTGGGAAAGAAAAAACCAACTTGAAAGACGAACACTTTGGAAGGGACATCAACATGGGTGGCGGCGGGTTAGGAAAGGGGGAGAGGTGGCGGCACGGGGAGGGCAGGGAAAGAAGGGAGACGATTGGGCGCATGTTCCCACCACGTCCCTGCCATAAAGAAGGTGGGTTGGCTCCTCGGAGCTTGCTTCAGCGCCAGCAGCGCGCTCGCTGGGGGGAGGAGAGAGAGGGGGAGGGGGAAAGGGAGGGGAAAGGGGAGGCGACGAAGGCAGGAGGGGAAAGGGAGCATGGGAAAGCCGGAATGGTCCCCCTTCCCATGTCACTCTCATGCCCCACTCCGCCCTCACCCCTCGTGCCACTCACATGGCGGGCAGCATGGGTGGCGGCTCGCGCCTTGGCTGACGCGGCGGAGGGCAGTGCTGCGAGCATGGCAGCACCATCGCCGCCTTTTGAGGCGCCTCGAAAGACGCGCGTGGAGGTGATGGGGGCAGGGAAGGCGTGCGACAGCAACGGAATCAACAACGCTGCAGAGCAAACCGTCTGCAGGGAAGGCGTGCGATGATGGCAACAATGCTTGCACCTGCAGCTAGGGAAGGGGAAAAGGGGATGGGCGGGGGTGACGCGTGGAAGGGGAGAGGGAGAAGAGGCAGATGGAGAAGGGACGTGGCTCGGGCCCTTGGGTTATTCAGGGTACAATGGAGTGCGAGGGCATTATCAAGTCATAACTTGATGCTACTGATGACATTCAAGTCATTTGTTGAGCGTTTTGAGGTGCCTCTAAAGTGCTCCCCTCCCACTGCGCCCTCCCCTTCCCACCTCCCCTTTTTCCTGCTGCTCACCCACCTCCCCACTATCCCCCATACCCAATGCGCCCTCCCTCGCCCGCCTTTCCCCCCACCCTCGCCGCCCCCACCCTAGTGCATCTCACCTGGCGACTGCACCTTGTCCGTCGCGGTGGAGGGCACCTCCGCGGTAACCTCCGTGCGCACCTCCGTGGGCACCTCCGCGCATGCCCTCTTCTCCCTCCCGCTTTTGGATGAATCAGGCAGCACGCGAGCATGCTGCCTGCGCCTCGTCCGTCGCGGCGGAGGGCAGCGCCGTTACCACCGTCGCCGCCGGTTGAGGCGCCTCGAAAGACGCGAGCAACTCCGCCAGCACCGACGCGGCGCGGGCGGAGGTGCCTTGTCCGTGATTCACGGAAGGGGGCGGAAAAAACGGTGCAAAAAAATGCTCGCATCGCGGATCGCGGCGTTACTAACTAGATCGCGGGTCGCGCTCTTGCTGTCACCCTCTCGCTCCGGCTACTGAAGAAGCGGCGCCGCCTCCTACTACTTCGCGCCTGCCTGCGCGCAAGATCTTGTGCGACCCTGAGTATGGCAGCATTTAATCCTCGCGAAGTTCACTCTCCGTCTAGATCCACCTATCGGTAACAAAAACTAGCCATCTAGGTTAAAAACGCGAGAGGTGTAAGACGAACAAGGCTCGATCGTGGTCGCGGAAGGTTTGACAGATACACCGTTTCATTCCTATTGCCGTGTAAGTCAAAACATCCAATTGCTTTTTCTCAGGTGCCCGTACAGCTAAACTATCAGCTAATTTTTTTCTGCCAACTACAGATTCTGACCCATACCAAAGACGTTCCGCACATTTTTATGCCTCAACTACAAATTTTGACCCATACCGCAGAAGTTACAGCAACTCGCGCAAAAAGTTGAGGCAACTAAAAATAGTGCCACGTCAACCACCTCCACCTCCTAGAATGTTCAACCCTGCCCTTCCTCCCGTCTTCGTTTTGCTGTATCCAGCATGCCCAACAATTCCCCCCACAGCAATACCCGTCCTAAGCAATCTCGTTTGCACAGTTACGATGCAAATCAGAATGAAAATTGTACCAGTTGGTGAAAACGAATGTGCACTGGGTTTGGATTGGATGCGCCAGCCGCCGCAAAATGTGTTGCCCACGCACCGCTCAAGCCACATAGTCAGTGGGTCATTTCATTGGCCAGTGAAAAGTCAGCAAACCTCCATCTCTGACAGCTCAAGGGGATTCTGGCAGTTCTCGCAGACTTTTCGTGAGCCTGATCATTTGCTACGCAACCCAGAAATCGCCAACGATTTTGCGAAACTGACACCCTCTGCTGACGGAGGGTGGGATGGAATCTATGGCTAGTTATAAGTGCTCATTCTCAGAAGTGCTCAGCAATCTGTTGCGATCCTTCTTTCAGTGCAACGATGAGTGCCTCGCGGGCGCCAGCAACAGCCCGTAGGTCTCATAACAATTTGAGTATGATGGAGCGATTTCCTGGAATCTTTAGCCCCATACTGCGGGCTTCATCCAACACGACTGATATATCAACCGACCTCCAGGGTAAGGAGAACAAGTTGGGGAATGAGAAGCTTCTCCAGGACGAGATTGCTCAACTGAAGAACGCAGCCGCCGAAACGTCGGCAGCCAACGAAGAGATGCAGGATCAGGTCTCTAATGCAGCTCTCTCCTACGGCATTCGGTTCTTACACGCGCACTAACTACGACCAACCTTTGCAGATTGACAACCTCACGAAGGAACTTGAGGAGAAGAATAAGACGCAAGCCTTGGAAGCTCAACGGTGGAATTCAAAGCTTCTGGAATCTGAGAAGCTTCTCCAGGACAGAACTGAGGAGGTTGCTAAGCTTAAGAACGCAGCCGCCGAAACGTCAGCAGCCAACGAGAAGATGCAGGATCAGGTATCTAATGCAGCTCTTTCCTACAGCATTTGGTTCTTGAATGATACACCCGCACTAACTACCTCGTTTGTGCGCACAAACCTTTGCAGATTGACAAGCTCAAGAAGGAAGTGAAGAAAAAGGATAAGGTTACATTCTCTCAACAGGTACCGCAAGTCACTTGCAAGGCAACTTCGCTAAGTGTTATGCATAGATCACTCAAGACTCTTTTTGTGTGCGTGTCTCAACTCTATCCAGGAAGTGATCAACCAACTGACTGGGGAGGCTATTGCGAGGAGATGAGTCAGGCGCTAGATTACAAGGGTCGTCCATTCTGGAACTGAAGAGGCACTGGAGCAACTCTACATGTTAAGGTAGTAGGCTGTTAGTGGCTCTAATGTTAAGCTTGGAGAGTTTAAATCAGCAATCTTTCTAGATCTCTCTCATGATTGTACTTCGCATATTCCTATATAAACAGCTAGGATAGAGCACGGCTTGTCATCATTGCTTGTATGATACTATTAAACTTGGCCTTCATCTTCATAATAGTAACACTTAGTCTTGTAATTCTGGAAAGTAGTTGTCGTTGCATGCATTGTCTTCTTGGCTTGCTGCCGTGATGCTCCTCTGGTTTCTTCTTTCTACCGCTTTGCTCGTTGGAGTTTCACGTAAACTTTGAAGAATCCCAAACCGCACATTAGGTTGGGATTTTCAACCTCGAACTTCACATTTCAGGTGAGGCAGCCATATACTCAGACGTGTGTATCCACGCCAACGTGCCAAAGCCGCCTACAAAATAGATGTCACTGGTGGGGGGGGGAGGGGGAGAGGGAGCGGGAGGGAAGGACATGGGAGTGTTGAAGAATGGTCTCACATACTCAGCCACGCCATTCCACGCCACCATGCCAAAGCCCCCCACAAAGTAGATGTCACTCGGGGAGAGGGAGAGAGGGGTTAAGGGCAGGCGTGGTTTGTGGTTTGTGGTTTGTGAGACGCCTCAACGATCGCACCTCACAAACCTATCCACAAAGCAATGTCGCTGGGGGTTGGTGGGAGAGGGAGGGGAAGGACGGCAGGGGTGTGCAAAAGACAACCTTCATACCTTGAGCAAGCACAAAAGATCCACACCACCCACCGTGTCAGCCCCCCCCCCCCACAACAAAGTAAATGTCGCTTGGGGGAAGGTCAGGCCCCCCCCTGCCCCTCCCTCTCCCTACTTCCCTCTAATTCCCGGACACATGCCCCTTTCTGGCCCACCCTTCCACTCACGGCAGCGTCAGTGGTGCAGTCAACGAGCGATCCCAAGGGGTACCCCTGCGGCGGTGGTGCGAGCGGGGCATCATGGAGCAGAGCTGTGCGTACTGTGCCCGCCCCACCCAGTCGGCGCTTGTGGCGCTCTCCACCCCCCCTGACACGGGCGAGCGGAAGAGACCGGAGCGAGTGGCGGAGACTGAAGGAGAGGACAGGGGAGGGGAGGAGGTGGGGAAGGGAAGGGGGAGGGGAAGGGGGAAGGCACTAGAGACCATCACGGGTGGGAGTGGCAGCCCATGGGCGCCCGTGGGCCTCCCCTCTCCGCTCCACACAGGGTGAGGTAGGGGAAGGGTGAGCCAGGGTGAAGTGAAGTGTGCGGGGAAAGGAGACAGGGTGCGATGGGGGAAGGGTGCGATGGGGGAAGGGTGCGATGGGGGAAGGGTGCGATGGGGGAAGGGTGCAGTGATTGAGCTCTGGCAATTCAACGGACAGCTCGTGGGATGATTGTGGGGAGGGGGGAAAGGCGGAGGGGAGGGGAGGAAAGGAAAAGCTACCGCGCTCACCCGCCCTCCCCGCACCACTGCCTCTCACCCGCGCCTCCCACCCCCAGCCACTACCACTCACTCGCCCTCCCCGCGCCACTGCCATTCACCCGCTCTCACCATCCCCACTCACCCGCTCTCACTACGCCATCCCCACTCACCCGCCCTCACTGCGCCATCCCCACTCACCCGCCCTCACTGCGCCATCCCCACTCACCCGCTCTCACTGCGCCATCCCCACTCACCCGCCCTCACTGCGCCATCCCCACTCACCCGCCCTCACTGCGCCATCCCCACTCACCTGCCCTCACTGCGCCATCCCCACTCACCCGCCCTCACTACGCCATCCCCACTCACCCGCTCTCACTACGCCATCGCCCGCAGCGGTCACCAGCGGCGCCGCCCCCGCATCCGATTCCCCCGCCCCCCCTGCAGCAGCTGCGCGCCACACCCTCCGCCTGAAGGGGGGAGCGCTTCTTGTGCTTCGCGGAGTAGCGCAGCAGTTGGTGCATAAGGGAGGCGCGGCGGCTAGCGAGTGGGCGGAGGAGAGTAGGCGCGCGCGTGGGTATTCTGGAAAAGAATGGGAGAGGAAGCAGGGAAAGAGAGGCAGGTGATAATGGAGAGACGGGCGAGAGAATGGAGAGAACGGAGCGAGAGTCGAGAGCGGGAGGGACAACAGTAGGTGATTCGGAAGTGAGGAGGAGGAGCGTAGCCGCTCTTGTTCTGAAATGTCGTTCATATCGCAGCAGCGTATGCCCCACGCCGCATGGGGAGCTGACATGGAAGAGAGCTTGCGCAGTTGAGTGATGGAGCGAGGCAGAGTGCCGTTGAGATGGTTGAAGCTGAGATCCCTGTGGGGATGGGTGGTGTGCAGGGGTGCAGGGATGGAGACATGAATTTGTGTGTCACTGCACGCGCACCACCACCACACAATGTGCCTGGTTCTCGCACGTGGTACAGAAGCTGAAGGTAAAGAGTCTGAAGCATGTTGATATGCGAAACGTATACACTGGTGTTGCCAGGAGATTGAGAGAGAGTGGGATCTGATGGCAAGTCCCGAAGCCCGCAAGGCTCACATGACCTGAAGGTTGGTCAAGTTGCCGATGCTCTCCTCCGGCAAGGGTTCCGTCAGCGGATTGGCTCCTGTGTTGCTGACGTGGCAGTATGCCATGCATTGGTTGCAGGAGCGAACGGGGAGAGGAACGTGGGAGAGCGGGTAGAGGGAGAGGGGGAGAAACATTTGAGAGTGTGACGAAGCTGCGGAAGGAATGGCATTGGGATGTTGACTCCTCTGCATGGAATGGCATACAGGTGCGAAAGGGAGCTCACTCACGGTGTTGGTAGGAGCTCACAGTGTTGTGAGAGAGGTCATGTTGGCCATGTCTAAGAGTGTCCCTGCTATTTCGTTGATCCATAAGACCCTGCAGACGAGAGGACGACAGAGAGGGGGGATGTGGTACAGGTGTGAGTGGGTGGCGGGCAGGAGAGGGTGAAGGAGTGAGGAGCAGGGGACAGGAAGTAATTAACAACGCACAACAGAGCACAAGGGAGCGGCGAGTGTGTGCAGAACTGACAGGTCGACAAGGTTGGAAAGGGATGCAAGGGTGGAAGGCAAAGACCCAGTGAGCTTGTTCTGACTTATGATGCTGCACGCACACACACACACACACACACACACACACACACACACACACACACACACACACACACACACACACACACACACACACACACACACACACACACACACACATGCACACACGCACATGCCCTCCAAGGATAGGATGAGAGAGCAGGACCTTTAGTGAACATGCAGAATGGACGCATGATATGAAGGATGGGCGCATGATGTGGAGGAGGGCAGGAGTAAATGGTGGCAAGAGGGATGTGGGTGCAAAAGCACACCGTGCGAGCTGGCAGTTTATGCATGTGTGTGGCGCTGGTTCGTATTCAGCCACACAGGCACACGACGACATCAGGAGGCACACGACGACATCAGGAGGCACACGACGACATCAGGAGGCACACGACGACATCAGGAGGAGGAAGCGACGGACACACAGAGGTTGTGTCGGAGCGTGCACGAACAAGTGAGTGAGAGAGGAGGCGACGGCAGCGAGGGAGGCAGGGATGGATGGAGCCGTTGCGGATGAGGCAGGCAGGCAGGTGGCATGGCGGGGAGAAAGGAAGGAAAGTGGAGAGAGGGTGATTGGTGCAGTACATCATACCATACATGGCAGCAAGAGAAGCAGGGGGCGGTGCAGGGAGCACGGGGACGACAAGAGCGGTGGAAGTCACGGGTAAGGGTGGTGGCTGGCAGGTGCAGGAGGCAAGAGGGAGTGGGGTGTGAGGGCACTGACAGCTGCTCGAGATTGGTGAGTTGACTGAAGGTGTTGGGGATGGTGCCTTGCAGTGAGTTCCCGCTGAGTACACTGGCAGGGCGGGGCGGGTAGGAAAGAGGAAGGGGGAGCGCATGGCATGAGCATGATTGGGGTGAGGGAGCAGTAGAATGCAAACGATGGTGCAATGGATGTAGTGAGTATGACGATGGATTTACGGCCTCGCATGTTGCAGCAGGCCAAGGTGTGTGTGCGAGCAGCAGGGGGTGCGTACAGTCGCTCAAGAGTGCTTATGCTGCCCAAGGGAGTCAGAAATGCTGCCATTCAGCTGCCTGTTGTTGCCCACCGCTCTGCACGGCACCACACCACACAGCACACAGAGTGCAGCACAGAACTCTGTTTTAACCGTAACATCCATCACAGGGTGCACACGAGAGTCGCATTGCACAGGGATCCGGAGGCAGTGCACACGTTTTTCAAGAGAGTTGTGCAGCATGTGTGGCGACATACGCAGACGTGCAGTGGGGTGAGCACTCACAGGTCAACCAGGGCGGAGAGTCCACCCAGAGTGGAGGGCAGGGAGGACGACAGAAAGCTGCTCTGCAGGTAGCTGCAAGGCAGGGGAGTGAGAGGCCGCAACAGCAGCCATGCCAGCCAGGTGCGGTGGGTGTGACACCATGTGACATGGATGGGGAAGTTATTGTGAAACGGGGGGGTCAACAACAAGAGGGTGCGGTGTGGCTTAATGCAGAGGTGGAGGAGGGAGTGGTTGTGCGGAGTGGAGTGGTGCTGGGGGGATGCGGAGAGGTGGGTGGGGAGTGGGGGTGGGTGGTTGCCTCACAGGTGCTTGACAGACGTCATTGTGCCCATGGTAGCTGGCACGGACCCGTTCAGCTTCTTGCTCGATAGGTTGCTGCGGTGAGAAGCAAGAGAGGATGGGAAATGAGAGGAGTGGAGAAGGGGGGCGTTTGAAGGAGGACACAATAGCTTGAATCAGGGCATGCGCGCAGCATATTGCAGGCACATGGCTAATGTCCCTCCCTGATTGTCCAGTGTGGCTCACAGGACAGTGAGGTTAGCCATGCGCCCGGAATGCGCCTGGCACACAGCATGGGTGGGCCAAGGCATGGATCATTGAGAGCCATGGAAAACAAAGAGGTCATGACACAGGGTGAGCACACGAGTGGGAAGGGGAGCGTATGACACAGGGTCCCACCACCACCCGCCTGCCACGCTCCCTCTGCTGCTCCTGCCTGCTGCACCTCCGCACGTAATGCTGGCATTGCTGCTGCCGATGCCTCTTCCCTGCCCCCCGGCCGGCCCCCCTCCCCCGCTGCGCCCACCTGCTGCTCCTGAGCCTGCTCCACCTGCTCTTGCCCTTGCCTTGGCCGCTGCACCTCGTCGCTCTCCCTCCCTGCCCCCGGTGCCGTCACCGCATGTGTGCTTCTCGCCTGCCCGTACGCCGTGTGAGCACCCACCAGCCGCCCTCTCATCCACAGCCTTTCCAGCCCCTCACCACTCTGCGCCGCCTGCCCCTTCCTACCTCCGCCACCTCGCTCTTCCCCACGTGGCCGCCCCCCCTCGCGCATTACCCGCAATGCTCCCCCAGTCGGCGCCCACGAAGCATGAGCGCGCGGAGTAGGGTGGGGCGCTGCTAATGGCGGGGGGCGCGCGCGGGGCGAGGAGGTGCCGCGCGGACAGGTACGTAGTTTGGGGGAAGGGGCGCGCGGGGACTGGCGGGCAGCGAGGCATGAGAGCGGGCGACAGGCGTGCTTCTCGAGGCGCGCGGCGTGGTGGGCAGTGCGGGCAGCAGCGGTCGGAGCAGGCGCGGCAGTGGAAAGGCTGCGCGCGACGCTGCGAGGGGCGGGTGACGGCGAGGCGGGCCAAGGCGAGGGGGCGGGTGGCGTTGCCATGCCGCACGGGGAGAGAGCGGGGGGCAGGGCGTTGCAGAGCGGTGGCAGGGGGGCGGCGCAGTGGATGGCGAGGGGCGGGAAGGCGGCGAGGAAAGAGCGCGCGGGGAGGCGAAGAGGAGGAGGTTGACGGAGCATTAGGGAGGTGGAGTGCGCGTAGAGAGGGGCCCTGCCCTGCCAGCCGCGCGCCTCATCGACCTCGCTGAGCCCGCGCTCCGCTGCCTGATCTGCCCCACATGGCCCAACCGCTGCCCTGCTCCTATCGCGGCGAAAGTTCACAACCGCCTTGGGAAAGAAGGGTGGGAAAGGCGCGCGATCCGCGAGGAACTGGGAACTTGTTGCAGTGCCTGTTGGAGCTGAGATTGTGCTGGCCACAAGGTAGCTCGATTCAGACGTCGATATAAAATCTCAAATTTGATCCTTTATCTGATAGATATATATACATATATATCTATTTGGCTGTCATTAACACGACTACATAAGCTGAAATATCCATGCATGGAAAAGTTAGTTTGACGCTTGTCGAATGATTAACAAAATCTCCCAAACAAGATACAATTTGGGTAATAATTGAAATTATATGTGTTGGAAAGCTGCAATGGTATTCTACGTATATGAAACGACATGTATTTCAGTTACCAGTTATTCGAAATGTGGCTTTCCCCACTTCGAAGCCCCTTCCACGCAGTCCGCTACTGGTACCTCCAGACACAAGCTTGGCGCGCCTCACGCTATTGCCCTCCCCCTCAGTTTGGGTCGCGACGCACTCTAGGAAATGCTTGAATGCAAGATCTAGGAATCAATGTCACTGCTCATGAGACTCGTGGCAGCGGCAGCGGCCATCCTTCCATTTTCCTTGGATCACCTTGTCCTCTCGTCTTCTTCCATTTCTCCACTGAGCCGATTGCACAAGGGATTTACGACTACGCCCCTGCACTACTGCAAACCGTGTTAGTTTTCTCCAATCGTTTTTCTTATCCGCAGTGTCGCTTGTGTCAAAATTGAGGAATGAAGAAGAGAGGAGGGGGGTTCACTAGCAAACATTGGGATACATATAGCAAACCCTAAAAGGGTTGTACTCACTATAGAGTACCCCACTGCAGACTAGAGAAACATAATATTCTGACACACCCCCATAGTCAAAGTGGGGTGTAATCAGCACAACAAGCAAAGCTAGAGGCTATCACCGAGGGCTAGTGTGGAGGAGGGACTATGAGAGGAGAGGAGGTAGTGGGCGGCAGCTGAAGCTGCTGGCACACGGCGCAACTGGAGCAACTGGCACACGGGCAACTGGAGCAATTGGCACACTGGCAACTGGAGCAACTGGCACACGGGCTACTCGAGTAACTGGCTCTGCGGCTAACCCTGAGCGGCAGGAGCAACGGACTCACGGGCGACTGGAGCAACTGGCTCACGGGCAACTGGCACAACGGGCACACGGGCGACTGGCGCAACGGTCTCACGGGCGACTGGAGCTGCGGGCTTTACGGCGGCCACCCCCCTTCAACCTCCCCAAACTATCCCACCCCCCTTTCACACACCCCCTGCTGCACCCTAGGTTCACTCACACCCCACCCCCTAGCACCACTCCGTCGACTCCCACACACCCACCCCCCTCAGCGGCAGCTGCAGGAGTGGGAGACAGAGGAGGAGGAGGAGCAGGGGAGCCCACACACCCGCCACCCCCTACTCGCCACCCCCAGACCCTAACACAGGGCAGGGCGGGACGGCGGGTAGGGAGGTTACGGGGGGGGGGGGGGGTGACACGCGGCCTCCCAGGGCGCCAAAACAGGCGGCAGAAGGGGCGACGCTCGCCCCCCTCCCCCAGGTCGCGCGGCCCCCGAGGGAGCCGCGACGGGCGACGGGAAAAGGGGGGTGGGCGGTGCACGTGCCCCCGGTGCGCCGCGACTGGCGACGAAGCATGGCCGGGGCGGGGCCAGGGCAGGGTCGAGGAAGGGCCGAAAGGGGCGGCGACGGGGCCGCAAGTGGCAGCGACGGGGCCGCTGGAGGCGGCGACGGGGCCGATAGGGGCGGCAACGGGGCCGCTAGGGTTGGCGACGGGGCCGCTGGCGGCGGCGACGGGGCCGATAGGGGCGGCGACGGGGCTGCGAAGGGGCCGCGAGGGGCCTGGAAGGGCGGCGACGGGTCGCGAAGGGGCCGCGAGGGGCCTGAAAGGGGCGGCAACGGGGCCGCGAGGGGCCGAGAAGGGCGGCGACGGGGCCGTGAGGGGTGGCGACGGGGCCACTGAGGGTCGCGAGAGGGGCACGCCACGGGGCGTGTAGTGGACAGAGTAGCAGCGGAAGCAGTTAGGTGGGCCCACAGGCCAGGACCGTAGATGCTCTGATAGCATGTCAAAATTGAGGAATGAAGAAGAGAGGAGGGGGGTTCACTAGCAAACATTGGGATACATATAGCAAACCCTAAAAGGGTTGTACTCACTATAGAGTACCCCACTGCAGACTAGAGAAACATAATATTCTGACTGCTTGCCGTTCCTTAGCGCGTGCTAGATCCGCCGTTGTTACTGGTATTTCGAATCTCCAGTATCGAGACTAGCACGAACATTAGTAGTCTGCCGGACTGCCTCCTCCTTGACATCCTCAGGCGCTCCTGCAAGCAGCCCGGCACGCCATGCACGCCGTATATTGACAGCCGCGTATGGGAGCCCATATCCGCCGCATGGACATTCTTGAATGATTATCAAGAGCAAGGCTTTCTGATAGCCAAGACGCCAGTAGCATCCCCTCCTCCTCTCGCAGACGTCGCTCAGAATCTCCTCGTCGCCTCCGTCTGCTACCGTTGGCGTCACCTGATAAAGCTTCACGTGACGACTCTCTCCGTTAAACCAGACCTCATCGTGTCCTGCGATCATCTATCAGTCGCTGTCGCGCGCTTTACGAACCTCACGTATCTCCATCTGGGTGAAAGTAGCTTTGAGTTGCTCGACGATGCCTTCCTCGCTCTCCTCGCATCTTCATGCCCAAGACTGACGGCTCTCCACGTGGGAAGGAGCTGGCGAGTGGCCGATGAGCGTGCTTACCTGGTGGGAGGGGGTTTGCGATTGCTCGATGAGTGTGGTTACCTGGTGAGGCATGATTGCACAGAGGAGGAGCATCGGATCACTACAGGCGGCTTGGATGGGTTTTTTCAAGAGCTTCCCAGATTGGAGCAAGTTACCTTGTTCTGCCTCCATAAGAATACAAAGCTACCGGATTCGCTTTTCCAGCTGAAGCATCTGCACACCCTTGTGCTCACCAACGCTTCAGCCGTGGAAAAGCCCGGATTTGCAAGTCTCACTGCTCTTACCACTATGTACATCACCTTCCCCTGGAACCAATACCAGCTATCCACCCTTCTTCACCTCCCAAGACTCACCCATTTGTACACCCTCGCGCCTCACAAAACCCATCAGCTTCTTGGTGCTGCAAGCGCGATTCAGACAACCTGCCTGAAATTGCTCAATTTTATCGTGTCTTGTCCCGACTTTGACACCATCTTCCCATCAGCATCCCCCTTCACTGGGCTAGAGGAGCTTTTGATCACTCGTTGCAGCGAGCTAAAGACCCTTCCTGACCACATCGGAGACTTGCTGCCATGCCTTTGCATGTTGTCCATTTGCGAGTGTCATAGTTTTACTCACCTGCCTGCAAACTTCACTTCCCTGAGCCGTCTAGAAGAGCTCGTTATCTGGTCATGTCTTCCTTACTTCACTTTACCCAGCAACTTCGGTTACCTGCCTGCCATCAGAGTACTGGTGCTGTTTGAGTTTAATTCCAGCGACCTCCCTCCTTCCTTCTGTCACCTCACGTGTCTCGAGGCACTCGTTTTGGATTGTTGCAAAGCGCTTGAGAAGCTTCCAGCAGGTTTCTGCCGCTTGACAACTCTCAAGACACTCTGCATAGCGAGATCGGAAGAAATTGGCCTGCCAGAGGACGTTGGGGCCCTTGCAAATCTGGAGGCTCTCAAGTTGATACACTGTCAGGAGGAGCCCCTTCCAGATTCCTTTACCCAGCTATCTAGCCTGACCAGCCTTGAGTCGGAGGGATGCTTTTGTAACGGCGAGCTTCCAGCCCTGGGGTCACTCAACAGCCTCCGGGAGCTGAAGATGGTTAATGCTTTTATCTTCACAATTCCTAGCTCACTGACAAGGCTTACAGCTCTGCAGAATTTGGAGGTGAGGGGCTGCCAGTGGCTCTCCCAGGTGCCCTCTCGGATGGATATGCTGGTGGGGCTAAAGACACTGGTGCTGGCGAAGTGTAAGGAGCTGAGGAGCCCCCCTGATGCACTGCCGCCCTCCCTTGAGACCCTCTGCTTGGGACCGTTCGTGGAAGGTTGCGACCATGTGGTGGACATCTCCGGGCTGTGGCAGCTGAGGGTGCTGAAGCTGAACCGTGTTGGGGTGCGACGCGAGCCTGCAGTGAGCAGCAGGTTGCCATGCCGGGAGCAGGCGGAGCAGGGGGAGCAGGGGGAGCAGGGGGAGCAGGGAGAGCAGGGGGAGCAGGCGGAGCAGGGGGAGCAGGCGGAGCAGGGGGAGCAGGGGGAGCAGGGGGAGCAGGCGGAGCAGGGGGAGCGGGCGGAGCAGGGGGAGCAGGGGGAGCAGAGGGAGCAGGGGGAGCGGGCGGAGCAGGGGGAGCAGGCGGAGCAGGGGGTGCAGGCGGAGCAAGGGGAGCAGTGTCACAGGATCGAATTCTCAATCGAAACTTGTCACTAAAACTGAATACAAGGCCTATTTATACTCGGAAAGTACAAGGATAAACGAGATAAAACGAACCTTCGGGAACACACCCTTCCCGATACTACAATCACAAGTGCGCATAAGCACGCAAGTCTATTGGCACTTGGGATTACGCCCAGATTACACCGTATACACCACTGTCGGCGCTGTCGGTGCCGTATAATAGGTATGTCGGTGGGAAAAGTAGGAAATAAGAGAAATAAATAGAAGGCTCTAGAAAATAGAATAGTAGGCCGATTGAGATGAGATAAAGACCAAAATAAAGAGGAGAAAAGGGAGAATGGGATAACGGAAAAATATAATAGTGAGAAAATATTATAACGGGGACGTCCTCTCACACTTCCCCCCCTCAAAGCTGGGTGGTAGAAGTAACACCCTGCTTGACAAGGTAGTCCTGTAGAGG